AAATTTTTATATCGATTTTTTTAAACATTACAATATTTTATAAAGTTTCAAATATTTTTTTTACCAATTGTTTATTAAGAATATTTTTATTTCAAGTATAATTTTATCGTACGTTAATAAACTATGTTCTAAGTAGATTCATCAAGGGTGTCACTAGACTTTTCAATTTTCCGGAGCTGGGGCCCTCAAAATTTAATTGAAAACCAATTATTATTTTTTACTTCAATTCGTATTTTCGAAAATACATAGAACGGGTGTCCATAAATAGTCCCATACTGAAAAATTCTATATATACTTAGGCAATTCATATTTGAGCCAAGGTCTTTCTAGTGGAGAGTATACTTTAGATATAGACTAATGTTTTTAGCTGGGGTTTACTCCAATTGTATTATACTAAATTTTTAAATTTGTTTAATAAAAAATTTATCTCATCTGTTTGATTCTTCATAGGAACGGGAAACTCGTATATTGTACTATATGTATTTTTTAAACCCTTTTATATGTCCCTATGGAAGTACAATAATACTTTTTTATTGGTTAGCCATAACATCGATGAATTACCTTTTCTCATGCCCCCCCCCCTCTCCCCTGGACTTCAATGAAACTCGGTATGAATAAATAAAACATCTTCTAAAATTCTAAAAATACAGTCTTTTTGAAATAGTTAATATATATTTTGTAAAAAACTATATACTCTTTTAGAATTGAACCTGAATTTTTTTTATATTTAAAACATGCCAAACTCCTTACGCTGTGATGGAGATCTAAATATAAAATTAAATTTTTTTTTGATATTAATATATTACTAGAGGCTTTAAAGTATATTAATTAGGCAAATTAAATTGAATTAGGATTTTAAGAAATTTTGGAAATTTTTATAAAAAAAATTCAAATACAATATTATTTAAGGTAAATTATTAAAAATTAATATTATATTTATAAATATTCATTGAAAGTTATTTGCATTTGTTTTAATCAAAATATAAAATAAATATGCAATAATTAATAGGACCAACCATGATCTAGCCCATTAACTTTATAAATATCATTCAGAATCATATTAATTTATGTTTTATGATTTTTTAAAATTGTCAGAATAAAACAGGGTTTCAACTTTCTTAAAATTAATTTATTATGATTTTAAAAATTTTATTTGAATCTAAACGATAAAGTTTTAAAATTATTTGTTGTTACCCTTGGAATATTAAAACACATTTCCCTCTGTAAAAATTAAAATGCTAAATATTTTTTAATTTTTTATCAGCCAAATAACAAAATTATCTATATTAACCTTAAATTTTCATTTTTTAAATTAATAGCTTATATTATAAATAGAGTGGACTAAATTCAACGTGCCCCGATTTCCCATATAATTTTTTCAAAATAATTTTGAAGTTATTTAGAAGGAAAGAAATTTATATTTTATGATAGAATACATGACCTTCCTCGCACTTTGTAATTCTTTAATAATTCTGTTAAATATATTGTTTAAAATATTTGATAGATTTTTACTTATATAAATCTGTATATAGTTTTTTTAGTCATATATTAAGATATGGAGGGCAGAAAAAAAGCCACCGAGTTTGATTAAGGACACTTTGTGACTAAAAAAAAGTTGTATATCTCAATTACAGATTTATATTAAATATTTTTTTTTATAGAATTTTTACAATTTGATATGCTTGAAACCACCATAACTCCTAATCTCATGTTCGGTCTAATTTGAAAAAATTGCAAAATTAATTAGTCCTAATTGCTTATTACATACTCTAAAAAATCTCGATTTTTCTTTAACGGTCACTCTTTAATTTCCAGTACATTATTTTAAACCTATTGAACTATATGGCATAAGAGAGAAGAGACCTAGTATATTAGGTTATTAATGAAATTAAATCAGTGACCCCTACAACGGGGGGGGGGGTCCGAAGCAACTGCTTCTATAAATTTCTATGGGGGTACTTTTTTTTTTTTTAAATTTTTTAAAAAAAATTTTTTTATTTTTTTTTTTAAAAAATATTTATGGTCGATGTTTAGCAAATTAGTTTGTTATAAGATATTTTTTATCATAAAATTATTTTTCCACTTTCAAGATTTGACGCAAAATTAAAATTTTATCAAAGTGAATAGTAAAAATTTAAATATTAAATCTTATATATAATCATTTATAATTTTTAGATCATTGTCAAAATATGCCCAAAAATATTAACCAAAAAAAATATAAATGCTTATCTCGCAATCAAGCCTTCTGGGGGAACAGGCAACAAGATGGCAATATGATGAGCCTTATTAAACTTATTGCAGATTCTGAGCCTGTTCTTAAAATGTATATGCAAGATAATGAAGAAAGAAGAAGTGAGAAAAAAATTAAGGGATTAAAATCTAAATTATATTCAAATCTGTTATCATATAATAACATAAATATTCTTATTGAAACCATGAAAAATATGGTTATAAAAAAAATTCAAAAGGAGATTGTATTCAACAGGTGCTATTCAATTATAGTTGATGGCACATATGATGTATCGAAATCAGAAGCAATAGCTTTGATAGTGAGATATGTTGAAAATAGCGAGACACTTAAGCCCGTTGAAAGGCTGATAGACATTTATTGTACGGGAAATACAACTGGCCTCGATATTAAAAAGAATATAATATCCAAGCTTGGCTCCATGAATCTACCCCTCGAATTCCTAGTGGGGCAAAGCTATGATGGCGCCTCAAACATGAGTGGAAGAATTAATGGAGTGCAGGCTTTGATTAGAGCGGAGGCGCCAAAGACAGCTTTTATTTGGTGCTATTGTCATCGTTTAAATTTAATAGTTGTTCAATTATGCCAATCAGTAAAAGAGCTGCGAAATGTCTTAGGAATATTAGACGAAATTTACGTATATTATAATGGTGTTAAAAGATATGAAGTGCTCAAAACATGTCAGAGTGATTTGCTGACAAAATCACATAGATTTTTACCATCAAGAATACCACTCGGTAATATTATCTTAATTGTTTCGATATATAATGTTTATTTTATATTTATAGAAGCTGGCTAACATCATATAAGACGATTGTAAATTTTTTCCTACTTTATGATGCTTTGAGGGCAGCTTTGGCAAATTTAAAGGATTCTGAAGATCCTGCCACTTTCACTATGGCTAGTGCTATAGTCTATAGAATAGAAAAATTTGATTTTATTTTATCACTATGTGTTTTGGATAAAATATTGTTGATAACAAGCTTGGCTTGTACAAAATTGCAAACCATTTCGAAGGATATAGGGTGCAATAAATCAAATTCAATTGGCAAAAGATTGCCTGATTAATATGAGAAGTATAATTTAAATTATTATCTTTTATTATTTTATAATCCTAAAATATATAATAACACTGAATTTTTGGATGTCTTTTCAAAGGCCCAAGATTTTATGAAGAAGAGAAATTTACCTTTTGATTTTGAAAGTTCAAGACTTCAAACATTACAATCCAAAAAGGAGAGGTGTATATATATACTTTCATCATTAAATATAATATTTTATTTTAGCTTTAAAATCAGTGTGTTTTATGCTGCACTTGATTTAATTATTATGCAGTTTAGTGAAAGATTTAACGATGAATCGATAAAATTTTTGAGTCAAACATCATTTTTTACCCCAAAGGGATTGGCGGAAAAGGCAATTGTTAAAGATGATATCAAGGATATCTGTGAATTTTATAAATTAAATACAAGTCAAGTTTTTGAGGAAATGTTGATGTTTAGAAATATTTATAAAATGGCTAAAACGGGGAACGTAATTATTACTCGTGACCTAGAGGTTAAAGAAGATTTGTCAGATTCTGAGAATTGTAAATTTATTTAATTAAAATATTTTTACTAATACATTATTTAGCTTCTTCTGATGATGATAATAATTCTGAGATGAATGATTCAGACTGGAGAAACTATTCATTTATTTTACCTTATAGTCTGCTTATATATTTTTCTGCTTTCCCAAATTTAACAATTTTATATAAATATTTATTAACTATTCCTACTACATCATGTACTGCCGAAAGGGTCATGAGTAAAATTAAACTAATTAAAACAAGACTTCGTAGTGTCATGAAAGATCCATTTCTTAATAATTTAACCATTTTATCAATGGAAAATAATTTATTTAAACAATTAAATATTGATGAAATTATAAATTCTTTTGCTTTCTCTTCCCCTAATTTATCTAAATTATTAATTTAAAAATAATATTTTTAAAGCATATATTTTTTACATTATATTTATATTATAATAAATATTGAAAATTATTTTTGAAATTTATTGGTGTCAAAAAACAATTTACAATGGGGGGGGGGTACTTTAGGGGGGTATTCTGCTTCTATCCCTCAAAAAGTGTAGGGGTCACTGAATTAAATTATGCTTCTAGCTTGATTATATTCAGAGATATTATTAATAATTAAATGAGGCCAGTTTTTTTAGAAATATTTGACTTTTATAGGCTAGTTGAAGCTAAAATTTTATTTTTTGCTAGTTACGATTTAATATATATTACCTCTACAAATTTTTTTTAAAAAAGTCTTAAGGGCTTGATTCGGATTGGTTTAATCTAATATATTAAATATCGTTTAAAATTATCGTATATTGTTTACAAATTTTGTTTAAAAAAACTAGCGACAATTCATTAAATAGCATACATTTAAACATTTTCATAAGATGCTTGTAGAGGGAAAGATTATATTATAATGCAGCCATCATTTAATATCTTTTAAAGCCCTTTAAATTCAAAGAACAAATCTTTTTTATAAAAAATTTATTCTATATTATAACTTAATGACTAAAATTTTTTTAATAATCACTAGAGTAAGTTCTTTAGCCCCTTCAATTTATATTTCCCCCTAATTATCTCATCATAGTCAAGTTCATATCAATTTTTTAGAAGGTACAAGCCTTTCCTTAGATTATCATAAATTAAATATTCGTTTTTTTAAAGATAGTATTGAAAATGTTATTTTTTTCAGGACAAACGTTTTAATCCGGATGTAGACAAGAAAACCGGTTTTCGCACTTACGCAATACTATGCATGCCAATTATGAATTACGAAGAGGAAGTGGTCGGAGTCGCTCAAATTATCAATAAAAGGAAGGGTAAACAAGAATTCACGTCTAAGGATCAAGAGGTGTACATTTTTTTTTCAGTTTAAATAATATAGTTTCAATAAATATCAATTAATTTTGATTAATGTAAGAGCTAAAAAAGAAAACATTTTTTATATATATTATTAATGTGTTTTGTTTATAGATTCCAATATGTTTAACGGAATGGTTTTATGTTATTTGTTGAGAAATCATGCATATATAATCAATTATTTGCAAAGAGCACTGCATCGGATCTATTTTTTAAATCTGACGCAATGCGAGAAAAATTATAATAAATCTCCGACCAATCTATTCCGATCCAATCTAATCCAAAATTTATTTTATTTTTTTTACAGCGCTTTTTACATTAATTTTTCTCTTTTGAATATTGTGAAAATTTTTTAAATATTTTTACATGCGATCTGGAAAGATGAAAATCTATCTTCAATTGAATTGTTTGCAGCATTTATGAGGAAAATAAGATTGGTTTTGCATTGAATTTTTCTTTGCCGTCAATTTGAGATTTTCGAAAATTCTGACTCTTAACATATTTTCTGGAAATTGAATGGAAAAATATTTTGGTTTAACTAGGTATATCAATTTATGTATGCCTTTTTTTAAGAGAAAACTGAGGACTAGATGTTATTGATTAAATTAATATCTTTTAAAATGTGTATATTTAGCCTCTGCGCCAAAGAAACTATCAACAGAACGCGATGATTAACCTTATCATTAAGGGCAACTTAAATCAATACGTAGATTTGATTTTTTTTAATACACTAAATATGACATTTTGGACACTTTAAATTGATTTTTTGCTAAAAATTTAATAAAAATAAAATAAACACTGGTAATAGTATATTTTATTATTTATTTAAAAATTAATTATAAATTCTTATAAATTCAAATTTGAAATTTAGTTGGCATGTATAAAAATAATTTATTCAGATTTTCTAGACATAAGGATGATCTCCTTGAACTCAACATCATCCCAGCGATAAAGAAAACTCTTTAACTAGACCTGCTAGTTACTTAAACACAAATAATTTTTTTGGCTAGCATGAAGAGGCGGAAGTTCGTTCCTCTTTCTTTTCCAAAAGTTTTACCATGGATGATGTTTTCCGATAAGAATATGGCATTCTTGTTCCAATTTATCATAATTGAATCATAATTTGTGTTTGACATTTAAGGTTTGCTAACTTTATTAGATAACTTGTATTTGATATATCCTGGGTTTCATTACTAACTGAATATCATCGTTCTCTAGAAGTTTAAGATCTTTGTTTGTAATAAATTTAGCCGACTACAATTTTGTTCTGTTATATATTTTAATGCAATGTTTTTTTTTTGATTTTGTGGGCTTAATAAAGAATCCTACACCGAGATAATTTATAAAATAAAAGAAAAAATTAAAATATTTGTATATATTTCCTACATAGCGCTAACAGTAAATCTTAAAGCTTTTTTAAACGTATTTTCTTTAGTAAAATAAACTACGAGTTGTCATTATTATTTAATAATAAATAGGGTGCTATCTCACTTCTGAAAAGTGGTGCTAAATTCAAGGTAGGCCATTTTTGCGTAGAAAGAAATTCAAATGTTTTTAAACGTTGAGTTATTTATACGTCATGATTTAAAAAAAATTAAGCCACTCAAATCTCAGTGTTGTTAAACAATACTTTAAGTAGCGTGCGACTAGTTTCAAGAAGCAGCTTTAGCTAATTTATAAAAAGAATTACGTAAAATTCAAACATTTAATAAAAAATATCAACTAGATAATTATTTTTTCTACTTCTAGAATTTTAGTAGAGGAGAAGAACTCATAAAATAAAAATATTATAAAGTTCATCTTTTTCCCGTACAATATCGTTATCATCATTCTTATTTGTTTCATCCATTTTATTTTCAACCATATTTTAAATTATATTTGATAATTATATTTGATAATTAAATTTTAAGATTATAATTTTAATTTAATTTTGTATATATTATTTAGAAAGTTACATACAAAAGTAGCGTTCTATTTACAACATCTTTTTTTATTGAATTGCTTCAAATGGATATAAATCCAATCTCGGTTATTAGACATAATACGAGCAGATAGCCCGTCAATTAAAATGAAACAGGAAAGACCGATGCTCTACAGCAGTCGAGGTAACAAAGCAAACGCCAATAATTTTTTAACTATTTGAGCTAAACCCAAATTTGGTCAGAAAATGTATTTTTATAGATATTTTCCGTTTTTTTTAAAACTAGAATTGGGAGGTCCGCAATTAGCCTTTTTCAACTATTTTTAATATAAAAAATATAATTTTAAAGATATTCTCAAAACTTGAAATATAATGTAATTATAATTAATTGTAAAAAATTAGAAACAAGCTTGTTATTTTAATTTTATATAGAAAATTTTTTATTTCCCTTAGAGTTTATTTTTAATATAAATAACTAAATAATATTTAATACATTTTTATTTTGCGAATGATATAATATGATAATTTATAATATTTTTAAAGGTAAAATATGTATCTTATTTCATTTTTGAAAAGTATTCAATATCACATTTAAATAAAGTTTTTGCTTCTTCTTTTTTCTTCTTCTTTACCATTTTTTGGCGGTTTTCCAGGTTTACCCCGGTAAGCCGGTTTCCCTCTGATCCATTCTCTTTTTACCGCTCTGGGTGCCGCTAACTTTCAACCACGTCTTCGTTGGTCTTTCTCGAAGCCTTGATCCCATTACTTCCAACAAGGTGATCTCTTCATCCAATCATCTTCGTCTTTCGTTCAACGTGCTTAAATCCTCAGTGTATTTCTTCACATACCACTCCAATCGCTTCTATATTAATTCTTTCCCGCAATTCATTGTTTCTTTTTCTTGCTCATAGATACCCTACACATCCATCTGACCATTTTAATCTCCGTTCTTACCCATTTAGCTTCATGCGCAGCTTTCATCACCCACATTTCACCATAGTAGACTAATATTTATTAACATTTAAGATTGTGATATGATTTAGTCGTTGCTGTTTCATCGTAGAACGTAAACAATATTTAAGACGTGTTAGTCCTGAAAACGATCGTTACGGCAGAAAATAAACTTGTGGAATTGTTGATAGCATTTTAATAAATTTCACATACTCAGAAAAACTCGAAATAATTTCTTTCTTACTTTTTATTTTTAATATGGTTATGACGTCCTCTAAAGAACGTTCCAACTTATTCAATAGTACAATTTATTTATGAAGAATTAGACATCTATTTCAAAATCATCCATAGAATAACATGATTTTCATCAAGTTTTTGATTGCAAATTCCTCCATATTAATTAAATGATCAATTACTGGTTTGTTGAACGATTTTTTATATTTGCAATTGTATGATCTAAAGCTTTTATAAAATTTGTCTATAATATTCATTAACTGATAAGATAAATTTGAGCCTTTTTCGTATTTTAAAAGATTTTTTTTTCTATCTCTTATCCTCTAAATTTAACTCCCTCTTCAAAATTTATCTATACCATCATCATGCCATATGACATCTAGAATTTTGATCAGGATTTCTATTTATATTTAACATTTTGAAAAGTAACGAAGAGCTTTTGATTTCATACTTTGAAACGTCTACTCTCTTAAATATTATAATCATTTTAAGAAATAAAATATGTTAATTTATTATTATACTAATTAATAGATATTTAACTTTCATATAATGTCCATTTGTTATAATTTCGTTATATCGACAATATATCAAGGTAAGTTATAATAATAGTAAAAAAAAATATAATATTAGTAAATCACAATTATATAAAGTCATTAATACTTGCTATTTTTTTTTGATTGAGATTCAAAAAAGCTTTATTTGGTATAATAAATTTTTTGTTCTTGTAGCAACCTCATTGTAAAATGTATTTATAATTTCTAATAAAAGTTTTACTATTATTCCATTTCTATTGATTTTAGCAATACTATTCGCATGTACTAGAGTAAGAAGTTGAACTATGTTTCATCTTGGATGGAACGAAATATCTCCATGCGGTGGAGAATCTCGAACAGAAGATAATAAATCTTTCATTCATATCAATAAAATCGCAATCTTTGCAATAGTATTAGATGAATCTAGTACCACAAGATTTAAGTGCATGACCTCCACAATGTACATAAATTGCTATAGATTCTTCCATTACAAAGACGTGTTTGTAATGAAAGAGCATAAGCAATAAGAAATAATATAATTATGTTTATTTTCCTTTCTTTGATTTTTAAATGGTATACTAATTCATTTTATTTAAGGGGGCAGAGTCCCCATAGAAATTTATCAATGGGGGTGAGAACCCCGCTACCCCCGTGAAGTCTCCGCCTATGCTAGAATATCTAACTTATCAATATTAATTTAAATTAAAATTATAATATACAATTCACGAGATGGTATATTGAGTTAATTATATAGTACAATATAGATTTTACATTATTATTATATTTTTACGTTTGTTACTTATTTATATAAAGTATTATTATGCAAATTTAATGTTTTCGAGTTAGAATAATTTGATGCTAATTAATAACAAATGTTTTTTTGGCTTTTAATTACAAAGTAAACTTATATTGTGAAAATTTGATATTAAATTTCAAATTTAGGTTTTTATTTTATGGCTGAATAAGACTATCAAGGTATATGGATAATTTTTATCCAAGTCAGAGGGTTTTTTTAAAATTTCAAGTCGGAAAAATACTGATCAAATGGCCCCGGTAAACTTTTGACAAAAACTCTTCAAGAACTTGTATACTGGATCTATCAAATTTCTCTTAAAAAACATTTATCTAATTAGTTCAGTTTCAGATGTGAGAATCGTCTTATGTAACTTACTTTATATAAGATTTTTGAAGTTCGGATTTTTAAAGTTAAATCACACATTGTATATTATTTATTTTAAAATAAATTTAACCAAAAAATATTTACGTATATATTAATTAATTCACAAAATATTCTTATTGAAAAAAAAAATTAAGTTGGGTGAGGGCCTAATGTAGATTGAATATCGATTTTATTAAACATTAATTTTTAAATTAGTCCAACATAAATAATTCTATTACATATTAAATATATAAATGCTAAATTACGTAATTGTAATTCGCAAAGTTTTGTATCTAATTGATTTGTTTCCAAACCTATTATTACTTTGATTTTTTTTCCAGAATTAAAATGTCTTTTAAGATTAATTTTCTGAATCTGATTATAAATGATAATTGGGTTTGGATTTTTTTCATTTTAGCCAATAATGAAAAAAAGAAGAATATAAATAAAGCATTTACGTAATAAGCTTCCTTTAAAAGCAAAAGCCAAAAAATATTATTTTCAAATTATTTATCAAAAATTTATTAATTTTTATATAAATTTTTTTCTTCTCTTTTTATTTCTTCGCAGGTGTTCCGAAAATACATGATATTTTGTGGCATAGGGATACAAAATGCTAGATTGTTTCAAATTTCCATTCAGGAATACAAGCGGAATAAAGTTTATTTTCGTATTTTTAATATTTCCCAAAAACAAAAATATTAATTTTAATAAATAAAACCTTAAGATTTCGTCAAAATTTTTACAGGTTTAAAATGTATTTTTATTAGACCTTATTTTAATTTAAAAAAAAATTCCCACTAAAAACTATTAGCACCTAATTTAATTACTATAAATTATGATTATTATAAATCATTCACTCATCTTATTTACTCTAATTACTTCTGATGTTTCTTTTAATTTAAATAATTTTCTATTAATATAATAATTCTTCTTTTAAAAAATGATTAAAAATTAAATAAATGCGAAAAATTGTATATTTTTTTATATATAAATTTTTTTTCCCCTTTGCTTATAATTATAAAATAATTAATATTATATTAATTGTGGCGTTCTTTCTATTCCTAATGTTGGATAAACATTTCTGGGTATGTTCTATTCCAATATATTTTATATGATATCAACAGGGCCATGATTAAATAGATTTTAAAATATTCTTTTAGCTAACATAACCATGAAGAAGTTTTGCATTTTTTAGTGCACTAGAATATCTATAGCTTTTGAATGCTATATATCAAAAAATGTTTTAATAATTTATGATTCGTGAACCTTTTTTCAATTTATAATCAATTAAAATAACGTAAATTTTTATGAAGTTTCAATTAAAAAATCATCTCAAAAAATAATAAAAGCTGCTGTTAAAATTGGCCAGAAATATTTTTGAACAACAAAACACGTTGGATCAATTGGTGCCTAAAATAATGAGGGATACTCAGGAAATCATCAAAGCTGAATGCGCCATCTATATCATTCATCGAGACGTTAACATTAACATACCATTCGAAAAATCGAGAGAATTACTTCAGGTTATTAGAATATTTAACATTCCCTTTTAATAGAATATATCGTTAAATTGTAAAAATAACATTTTGCAATGGAAGAATAGTGCCGATATCGACAAGTGCAATTAAAATATGATATTGCAAATATGTTTAATAATAATAATATCCTACCCATTTCTCATTAACAATATGCCTTATTTCAATATGATTTTTTTAACCTTTAAGCAAAATCAAATAAGAGGCAAATATGTTTGGTTTGGGGCTAGTTTAATCATATATTATATTTTAAATTTAAAAGCCCAACCAGCCTAATTCGTTGTATAAATTTTTTTACAACATCAATCTTGTTCAATCTTCTCATTTAATCTTATTAATATCCTGCCTTTTTTAAGTTATTAATTTTCTTAAAAAATTTATAAAGCTTAATTTTAAATTATTTTTCCCTACTGGTATTTATTATTCTACGATTTTTTAAACATAAAAAAATGATTATAATATTTGCTGAGACAACAAAATATTCATATAATTTATCCTTTACTTAAGGATATGCGGTTCCTAATTGGAGCGCTCCTTTTGACATTTTAGATTTTTAAGTAAATTATTAATAAATAGAAAAATAATATAAGATTTAAAAATATTGATTTTTGGCGACGATCACTGGCAATTTCGCGCTATTTTCATAATTTTTTGGTACACCTATTATATTATTATATTTTAACTTGTGCATACATGGAAAAAATTATATATTGAATTAATTTTTTTTTACAGTCAAGTTATTATTTCCATCAATAAATTAGAATTAAATAAAATTTACTAACTATATTATAATTTGATTATTTATAGTAACTTCGATTTATTTTGTATTTATTTAATGAAATTTTAATAAATAATATTGAAATGGAGAATTTTAAGCAAAAAAATCATAAAGTGTTTAATTTGCTACTTGCATTCGATTTTTTCAATAAATTTATATAAGTTTTTTGAGTAAAATATCTTAATATTAGAACTAGCATTTTGAACTATCAATTTTTTTGCTTTTGATCTAGTTTTGTTTATTTTTAAATCTGAACTAATCGTTTTCAACTATTATGTAAGTGTAGCACTCCGATTTCTGAACCAACGATAGGGGAGGAAATGTAGATTAGCATAAATTTTTATCCGCCGATATCTTTTTTAAACTAAATACGAGAAAAAAAATTGTTTAACCTATTCTATTATTTTTTTTCCAAATATCCTTGCGATCCAAACTCTATTTTAAATGTAGACACGAGCTTAATTCGAAGAATAAATAAATATACTGAACTTAGTAAAAATTCCAATTTATCAAGAAGGGAGGAAAAATTAGAGATGCAAGTGTAACAAATAAATTTAATTCTTTGAAAAAGAATATAATTTAATAAATAGGGGAAAAATTAATTTAATTTTTCTCTCAGTCCGAGTCTCTCCCGATCGGCCCCGATTTATTATTCAGAGTTCGTAGTGGATGCTAGCGTAAATCAAAATTTTAATTGTGGAGCTCTTTTCATAAAATTATACTTTTTTTAATGGGAATAAACTTCACCGAGGAAGAAAGTAATTTTAAGTGTAAAATATTATATCCTTCAAGAAAAAATTTTTCATATTAGATTATTTATTTATCCCAACTTAAAAATATAATAGGTGAGAGGAAAGAAAAATATTGTAATTTAAAGTATTTATTTAATATTATTTGCACTGTAGAACTAAGCCTTGCAAGTTCAATTTTTTAAGCCCGGCTCGAAACTTTTTATTGAAAAATGTAAATTAAACGCTAGCTTTGTCCTAAAATTTCAGAGATATTTTAGTAAAATGTTTATATTTAAACTTATAAATTAGGACTGAGCAAGGTCAGGCTCAAATTTTTTCTATATATTCAATCTAAAATTAAGCCTGAGTTCGATCATTCTCGAATTTTTTGAATCTAGATGATGATCCTTTATATATTTCTTAATTAATATATTAAATCATTTACGAATGACAGGGAGAATTCTAAAATTTTAAGAAGAGCATGCATTACTTTATACTAACTTATTTAATTTAAATTATACGAATAGTTATATAATGCGTTACATAGCTATTATAAAATTCTATATTATTTATTAAAAAGTTATTTTAATAATTTATGATAATATTATTATGTAAAAAAAGCAATTAAATTATTGATAAATTTTTTAATTATTTAATATTCCAATGGGATTAGATTTAATGAACCTAATAAATTAAATATGTTATATTTATTGCATCTAATAACGATTGATCACATAAAGATAATAATGTTTGTGTTAAATAATTTATCATAAATATGTTTTATAATTATTGTCAGTGTCAACCATCAAAGCAGAACAACATGAATGTTAAAATATTCAAAAAAGTGATTAATATAATTTTAATAGTCTGACATAATTATTTTTTGGAAGCAAAGAGTACGACTTTACTCTTAATAACCAGAGATCGGCATGCACCATTTTCAGACTCGGGCCATGTTTAAGAAAAATATTATTATCCAACCCGGCCTGTATTTTTTTAAAAATAATTTTTTGGTTTTATCAGGTTTTAAAATTTTATAAATCGAAATAATTTTGAGGGTATCTCTTTTATTGAAGTTAATTATATACAAGAATAACTAGAGTGAAGTTAGATTAAACCGTTATCGAAATAAAAATTTGCTAAGCAGCGACCGCATTTTATTAAAATCTGATAGACTCTATTTATAATATTATATTAACGGAATCATGCTTTCGCTGGTAATCTGCTATATATCATACCTCGTACCACGGAAATTCTTAGGTTATCTCGAGAAAAGCTGAACCTTCCTAGATTCGAACCTAGAAACCGAAGTATAAAGTGCTTCCTTTATCAACGCATTACTCAAAAATAACTATTTTATTTGTATTATATTAAACCATATGCGGTAGTGTTGATCCAAACAATAGAAATATCAAAACATCTTCTTTCAAATTCATCAAACGTTGAGTCTAACATTAATCATGAAGTTAAGTATATAAAACAATACACCACTTATTTACAGGGTTGACCAGATCTGATGAAAACATTTCCATATTTTTTTATTTGAATATAAAATTATTTGACTTGCAAAAAATTTTTAAAATAACGTATTTATATATTCTTATCAATTTTTTCCAAGTAATGTTTTCAAAATCTGCACAACACTGTATTTGTTTATTTTCAACAAACTTAACATATGATATATAATCCTGTCCGGGCTGGGGGTTTTGGGTTAGAACTACGCAAAAAAAATTTGGGTCGAATTTGATAGTTAAATTTTTTTATTCAAGGTCCAACCTTATAAGATAAATAGAATCAGCAATATATCCTAAAAAATAAATAACCCTTTTTTATGATTAATCAGAGTTCTGCATTTTGCTTTTAACAAAATATAACCCTGTTACCTGCCTAAAAGAAGTCGAATTTTTAAATTTAAAGATGGATCATTTAACATTCGTTTGCTTCTCTACCACTTATAAACCAAAATTTTTAATATATTTAATATTATAAAATTCTGGGGTGTGCTTAATAATATTATATTTTTTTTTAAATTCAGGAAAACAAAATAACATTATTGTTTTATCTTTAACTCTTATTCTTTTTGTTTATTTTTTAATTGTGAAGTTCAATCAGAGGAAAGATGAGAATTTTAAACTGTAATTCGAGTCGGGCCAATATTTTGCTGTTGATTTTCCGGTCCATTCAGACCCGATAAAAGGCGGGGATTATTCTGTCTTTAATAGTTCCCCTTTTTTAATCGATGATAATATATAATTTTTACCAAGAAAAATTTGTATGCCTTCCCCCCTCCTCTATAACGTTTTAGGTTATCAAAGGTTTTAATTAGGGTTAAAAAAACATGATTTATAAAAAATAACAGCAAATAGTGACTTTTGGGGAAAAATATCACCAGTAACTGTAACTACTTAGGTTTTTTTTAGCAGGTAACAGTAAAAGTAACGATTTACTTTTTAAAATATGTTCAATAATATATATTTATATATCTCATTTATTATCTTTATGATTTCCCAAATTTACAATCGGTGTTTATAAAAATAATATCTTATTTACACTAAGTACTCCTAAACTTAGAGCATTTGTTTAGTCAAGGAAAACATATTTTTGGATAAAAACTAGCACACCTTTAGACGCAAATTTTGAAAATTGTATATTGTTAAAGTCAAATTGAAATGTACTAAGCTCAAATTATTATGAAAATAATATTCTACTGGTCTATTTATTTCCCTAGGCTGTGAGTATAGGGAAAGGGCATTTTGCCCCCCCCCCATTAATTTTTCTAGCCACAACGAAATATTGCAGATTTTGCGTTTTTGCCCATTTTAATACACATAGAAGGGAATTGTAATAAAAACGTATATATTAACTTTAATATTACATAAATTATCATTAATATTACATAATGATGCTTAATAATGCAAAATTTAATCATTTACCAATTACTTATATTTTACAATGATAAATTTTATATTTATTTGTTACTTAATACATATTCTAATCTGCTTATTCGCCATAAAGCATGGAAATAAGCAATCTCCGATCAAATCTAGCAATTTCAATTAAATAAAATTTAATATATTAATGATGGGTTATATAAATTACTTATAAAGTAACTTACAATGTAACTAGTACATTTTTCGGGATGTAATTAGTAGCTATTTACCTTCAAAAGTAACTTGGAAAATAAATGGTAATCTACCAATTTTATTTCGCATTCTCAATCATTTATTTATATTCTACTAATTATTGTTGGTTTCTTTTCATTATACCAATGCTCATTTTGTTAAATTGAGTTTATTAAAATAAATTAAAAGAAAATTAATTATTATAAATTTTTGATTTTAAATTGATCTTTTCTCTGTTTTTCTCCGTTTTTTTATTTGAAAGAAACCCTAGTTTATTTTTTTGTTTTTTTACATTCCTAGTTTTAATTATATTTACTTAGGCAGTTTTTAGTTGTTAATTAAAAAAAATATCCTAGAAAATTGCAATTTAACCATTTATTAAATAGAGATGCTATATTAAGTTAAAATAAATTGCTATTAATTAAAACAATATTTGATATACTCCTAGCAAACATCGTCAACTTCCTACATGTCTCACATTCAATTCTCGCCCGTCTTTAAATTGATCACTATGGACGATGACGATTACGAAATTAAGAAATTAAAGTATAGAAATATAATAATGATAATTTTTTAACTTTAATATGACTGAATTATCAATAAAAAGAAGCGTATATATTATACATATAATATAATCATAAGATTATTGAAGTTCTCTGTTATAAGAAAGAAAAATTAAATAATTTCCTCAAAGTAAGACTTTGAGGTCACATAGTTGATTTTTCAATGGGTTTAGTATATAATATACCATTTATTTTATAGCATACCTTGAAAATTTTCTTAAGTAACACTCAAGAATATATTATAATCAAATAATCCAACCATGATAGTCTAAGATAAGTTTACTATATACACAAGTAAATTTCTAACTTTCATTAGGGCAATCCTCGTATAAAGCCCAAATATTTTTTTAAAATTATAACAAACCTAATGAAATTTTTCTAAAAAAAATATAAAGGCCCGAGGAATTTCAAAATTTACCCGAAACCCAAATCGCTATATACGTTGTCGCAAATGGAGAGGTTTTTTTAGCAAAACATTTGAGTTATAAAGATTTGTTAATATATGTCCATTCGTGACCAAGTATACTTGATTATACTCCCTATAAGTTGAACAAATCTGTCGATTTTATACTAAAAGTTATCACAAGATCTACCATTTAATTTTATGTAAAATTACCGCCAAGCCAAAATAAATAAACCAAACTTTTTATAATTTTAGTGAACCAGATGAAACCCTTATAATGTTAATCTAAGATTATTTTATGAAACACATTATATTTCCACGGGGGGGGGGGGGGGGTTACCAAGAGCACAATTAATTAAACTTAATTTATTTTATAACGCTCTTCTTTTCAAATTTTTAAAAAATTTCAAAACCCTAATGAACCTTACAAATTTTTTTACAACCAACTGTAATAATTTTTTCTACTGGACCTTAACCAATATTATTTAGACCCAAACCTCGCCGTAACCCCTATATCTAAAGTTCCGGGTCCATAATTAATAAATATTCGAACATTCAAATGACCAAATTGGTAAATATATAATTAAATTTATGATAACAACTATTTTATAAAAAAAAAGACGTTAAATATCCACAATGGCAAATCAGATACGGAAGATTTAGAAAATATTGTAAGATTAATTATATAATTTAGGTCCTTTATTCGTTTTATTTTTCTTCTAAATATTATTATACATAACCATAATCATTTTACTCTTCCATTATTCATTTCATTTTTTACTATATATATTTATTTATTTTTATTAGATCTTAATTCCAACAGATGCACCTCTCCCTAAAAATATTCTTACGGTTCCAATCATGAATAACGAGCACATCGTATTTGGTGCCGTTCAGTTTATCCATAAGCTTGATCAAAACCCTTTCGAAGAATCGGATATTGCTCTCATCGAAGTAAGGGGATTATTGTTTTATTACTCTATGCATCTTTTTTGTTATGGTTCTTATTTAAATAGAAATTAATTTTTTTTGAAATATGTTAATGACTATGCTACTATATGAAGAAATGTACCAATTTACATTTCCTTCAGTATTACAATTTAACAATTAAGCGTTGATAAAATTTTAAAATATTAGGTTTCGTTATTTGTCTTATTTAGCGACCTCAGTTCAAATAAAAGACATAACATGTATATGTCTTTACAATTACCGAAAAAGAAAAAAACTATACAGTGGCATGATTACTTAGGCATCTCCTACCACACATGAGGGAGGGAGGGGGGTAGCTCAAGATCATCATAAATATTAGGAAGAGATAACGATGTCGTGTAGACGCAATCGTCATAAGAATATGGGGTGGGGGAGGTGGTAAATAAATGTAAGTGAGGGGGATATGCAAATTAATCCAATATCATTTTTTGCTAATTTCCATTTAGAATTAGTTGCTAATTTTAATTTCTTTTTTTTACTTGGTTCTTTTTTATGTTTAACAGAGTATAGGAGTAAAATTTAGGCTGGAGGGGAGATAGAAGTAACCTGTGATTACTTATAATGCATTTATGAACAAAAATTCTTTTCCAATTGAAATTGCATGACGAACATTTATTTTGTATCAAAGGCTTTCGCGTTATTTTGTGGTTTGGGAATCAACAATACATCCATGTATGAGAACGTGGTGAAGTTGATAGCAAAACAAAACGTGGCTCTCGAAGTACTATCTTACCACGCTACGGCATCCTTCGAGGAAGCCAAGAGGATCAAAGTTTATTATTTTTCAACTATTTATAAAAAAATAAATAGAAATATAATATTTTGATAAAAAAAATTCGAAGGAAATTAAATTATAATGGTTTTCTTAAAGCGCGAATATATCCTCGAGTGATTAAATGAATGTTGTAAGTCTCCTTTTTTAAATAAGATTGAGTTATAAAAAAAATTATACTATATTTTATTAAACCATGGTATATACTAATACAAACATTCATATTCAGAAATAGTAATTATTAATTCGTACTAATAAATAAAAATTAAAATGGGAAATTTGATTACTCTGTAATTTAAAGTCTTCTTAAAAATAGCGTGTTTGCTAACTATTGGATTTTCTTCCACTTATTTAGATATTATATTATCGTCACCTGACTCTTGTTTTTATCTAAAAAAAAGTAGTTTATCGACTTAAATCCTAAATTTCTAGAGGCCGGTAAACAATTTTAAAGTATAAGGCACATTTATTCATATGATGAATTCTTGGTTAACTATTTTTTTTGCTTTACTAAAATTAAATATTTTTATTTCAACCAAGTTAGATTGAACTCTTGAAATATCCACCTAATCAAAAATAGTTTCTTTTTTTATAATGATCAATTCCTATAACCAAAACACTAAAAGTGAATAATCTTCTAATAAAAGTTTTATATTTAACAGAAGATTTTGATTCTTATCAAATAATTTAATCATTAATACCTAGAGCCAGATGATCCCAGCGGTACGCAAACTCAGTCTAAATAGTTACGCCTTTGACGATAAAGACATGTCCGATGACGAAACTATTCTAGCCTCCCTTTCCATGTTCTATCACTTGAATTTGCCTTCCAAATTTAATATTCCTTTAGAAGTAAGTGAGATTTAATTTTAAAACAATAAAATTGTCAATAAATATATTATATAAATTAGTAGTGTTGTTAAATTACCTAACTTTGACCTTCAATTGTGGCTTAGTCAAACTTTTAGCCTAAAAAATTGAATTAAGCTTCTAAATTGAGTCTCAACTTAACGATTGATTGGAATATTTTTGGTTAAAAACATGGCTACGCTGTTTTATAGTTGACTAAAGTTAGGTAGCTTAACAGCACTATAAATTAGCATCACAAATAACTAGGTACCAAAATCTCATTGTGTTTATGAACTTTCATATACATTCAAAGGATGGATATGAAAGATATGGAAATCTATTCTTTTATATTTATTAAATTACTAAACATATACAAGTAAAACAAGCTTGAAATAAAATTATTGAAAACTAAATATAATATTATAAATTGATAAAATTTTTGGCAGCCTTATTATTAAACACACATCCAATTTATAAATAAAACCTTAAATTTCAAATTTAATTAGCAAAAGTATTGCTATTATTTGTTTATCAGATACTCTCTAGGTGGGCGCTTAGCGTTAAAAAGAATTACCGCCCAGTGACTTACCACAATTGGAGACATGCTTTCAACGTTGCTCAAGTCATGTTCTGTATTCTGACGGTATATTTCTATATTACTATATATCTCGTAGAAGATTAACTTATTAAACTAAAATTAATCACTCATAGGGCACATCAAAACCAGAGTTATATAAATCGTGGATTAATTATTTTGAGATTTTAACTCTACTTTTGGTCTATATCAAGTTCGGGCCAAAACTTACTCTTATAGATTATCTCCATTCTAAAAAGTTTTTATGCGTTTAAATTGTTCTTATAGTGTTAACCAGATGGCACTATGTTTTTTAAAATAAAATTATCCAGTAATATTATTCTAAGTTAGTTAGAACCATGTAATAATCAAGGCAATATCTCATTTTCTGCAATATTTAATAAAGCATTTAATAATAAGAGCAATTGTTTCAGATGGCAACTGACAGATTTTACATTAATTACACCATAATTAGTGTACGATTAAAATTTTGATACAAATCAATCAGTTATTAATAAATAATAATGATATTTATATAATAAGTTATGAAGTTATAAGAAATGGTATTCTTCTGTATTTATCATCTAACCATATTAATAAATATACAATTATTTTTTTAAACGAAGACGGGTGGTTTGGAGAAACATTTTACCGATTTAGAGATTCTATCTTTTATGATAGCATGCTTATGCCATGATTTAGATCACAGAGGAACAAACAACGCATTTATGAGCAAGTTTCACCTTAATAAATATATTTCACATTTTGTATCTGATGTAAAAACTTTAAAAATTAATCATATACTTAATTATCTAAAATAGTTATTCATTAAAATATTATATATAAATTTTTAATTACCTTTAAAAATTTTTTGAAAGAAACAGCCCCAATTTATCTTTATTTGACTTCTTCCTTTCGAAACTTTAAAAAACATATTGTAATGATTAAATATTATTTTTAGAAATATATCTCTCATAGTTTCATTCTTCAATTATGAAATAAAAGGATTTGGACCATTTTTTTCAATGAAAAAAATAATATAAAATTTATATATATTTATATAAAGAGCTGATACTTCCCTGGCAAAAGTTTACGGAACTTCCACGTTAGAACATCATCATTTCGACCAATGCGTCATGATCCTGAGTAGTCCAGTTCGTTGAAAATTATAATGATAATATTAGATTATACAAACTATAAATTATACGCTTTGATATGGGCTCCTCGATAGTTTAGGCTATTATTATAAAACTATTAAATGTAGGCAAAAAATAATTGAAATACAAGGAGTTGTAGGATTCACCTATATGCGCAAAGTTTGAAGATCCGATTTAAAATGTTCGTAGAGGTAATAGGAAGACTTTTTTTTGTCAAAACTTATTATTTATGGATAAACTCATTTTAAAAATTATATTTTATGCCTATATTTCAATAGATTCTTCTTAGTAATCCTTAATAATTTATTTTAAAAAAATTGTAATTATTCGTCACCAAAAAAAACTAATGGGTTATGGGTTGTAAAGGGAATGATATTGTGTAGTAGATAAAAGTAAATGCTGGCTTAAGACGCCACATTTTTACTTGAAAGAAAGAAAGAAGAAAGAAGAAATTCAATTATTTCTAGGAAATCATCTTATACACTAAAATATTATAATTATAAAGGGTAATACCATACTCCAAAGTCTATCCCCTAACGAATATAAAAAATGCATCGATTTACTGGAAAATTATATCCTGGCCACGGATCTGGCGATATATTTCAAGTTAGCCACCATATAATTTTAACATAGAATATATCTGACAAAATATGGCGAGGATGCGTTTTATATATTTTTATTTCATTTTAACAATTAAATAAATATTTTTGTTTAAGTAAGTGAGTAGCGCTGAGCTAGCCCTTTATTTTTTGTAGTAAAAAAATAATTTATTTTTTCAGATATTGCAAAAAAATTATTTTTTCTTGTTCGTTAATAATTTATCACGATAAAAAAATGTAGACTATGATATTTTTAATTTTTATTTGCTCATATCTAGGGTTTGAAACATTTGATTTAGATTAAAAAGGTGGGAAATATTTTTATTTTCGAAATTTCAGATTTATTAATCGATGAACGAATAATTTATTATTTCCTAATTTATATATTAATTTTCAGCGATAACTGACTAGCACAATAAAGAAATTTAATATCAATAGTTAATGTTTTTTTGTTACCGATTAAACGATAGTTGTATTGTTCGGACTGGTGGGGACTACCCTGGTCTTTGAGCCATGGCGGTACCATCCTAAGGGGTCTCAGCTTTATTGGTTCAGGGAAGGATAGAGGGTATTGGATAACAATAAAAAGGGGTGATTTGTAAAAGTTTTTTTTTAAACATGATTTATAACTATTAATACTTTACTTGCAAATTTAGACGAAGGCCATCGTTTATAGAGTTGGTAAATAATGGCGAGAGAGAATTCAATGACCCAGAAGATCATAATTTATTAAGGTAAATATTTATTTGTAATTTTATCTTCTAATGAGTTAAAAGAAAAATATATGTATCGTTTGATTTAGGATAATAAATAATAAGGATATAATTTATAAGATGAAGATTTAATTAATTCAGCAGTACAGTATAAACTTACGAAAGAAGGAAATAATGAAATATAAAAAGAAAAGGGAAAATAATTTTTTTTGAATTTAGTTCGATGATGATGACCTCTTGTGACATAGCGGCGATAACGAAGCCTTGGTCCGTCCAGGAAAGGATAGGTATATTGGTCGCCAAAGAATTTTTTGAACAAGGAGATATAGAAAAAAAGAAACTCCACATGAAACCCCTAGTAAAAAAAACAACTTTTATTTAAGTTCTATAAGGCTATAATTGATGAATTTATAGAGAAATGCCTTTTAAAGTGATACCACACTATTGTATATCTTATTATTTAAATCAACTTGAAAAAAATTTAAGAAATGTCTAAAAAACAGGGTTGGACGGTAAATTTAACCGGCCAAATATTGTCAATTGACCGAAAGAGTTTTTGGCCGGTCAAATACTTTAAAATGTTAGAATAAAATAATATATTGATATAATTATATAAATTAGTGTTTTTACAACGTGTTTATCAATTAGTTTATTTATTAAAATTTTGCTAGGACGATATAAAAACAAAAGGATTTATCATCATTATTAATTTTATTTCAGTGAGAGTTAGGGAAATTTTCAATTAGAAAATTATATTATCAACAACTTAGAAATAAATTCTACAAGTGTTTTTTCTATAGTTACCTATAATAATGGTGCTAAAAGTACCATGGAGAATTGTAAACTCGAAAAATAAAATCATGGCTTCTTCAGAAAATAATTAGTTATTTTGGGGTAACATGCATACGAAACTTAAATAGATTGAAGACGTTTACAAAGGAGAAATGGTAAGCTATGCAGCTAGGGCAGCCTGGATTAATAAAAAACATAAAAGAAAATAAAAATTACTCATTGAATAAGAAAACTTTGCAGCATAGGGCGAAAAAAGGGACAGACTAGCGATACTGCAGCCTTGTAGAGCTTCTACAATTTCATATATTTTTAAAAATAAATTTACTCTAAAGATAGAGGAGAGACGACAACCTGAATCTTGCATAATTTTGAAACCGAAAACAGCAACTCATTTCGGCATATGCCAACTAGTTAATAATGTAGGAAAATGTAAATTAATCAAAATTAGATCTTCATTCATTTAAACACAAACGCATTTTTTTTAAAAAGAATGAAAAAATTACATAAAATAAGAAATTATAAACCTTAAGAAATGTATTGATATGATATTTTAAATGCTAAAAAAGGAAATTTAATTAAAAATAACTTTTAATAGATAAAATAAAATATTTGAACATGATAACGATAAGAGGAAAGTTATGATTTACATGATAAAAAATTTATCATTTTTTTGTTGATCGGCCTCAAAAATCGTCATTTTCTCACGGTCTCGTGAGCAAAAAGCCAGCTTGGTCTTATAGCCAGTCCACCCCTGGCGAAAACCAAATATTTATGGGAAGATTAAAAATATCATATTTAATTATCTACCTTCATAAGAACATTATATGTTGTATTACTATTATACTAACCAATGTAGGTAATATTTACCGGTCAAATAACTTAACCCTGGATTTAAATTTAAGAACCTTTCAAATATTTTCTGTTCAAAAAACGATTTCTTATTTATTATTTACTTGTCGAATTCAAGGATGTCAAATTTTTTAAATGACTTTACCCATGTTTTTTCTGTTATACATAAATTATATAGCCTTTGATGGATAGGGATAAATCCTCTGAGATGCCCAAAATGCAAGTCGATTTTATCAATGTCGTATGCTTGCCTCTTTATGAAGTATAATATTTATGTTAATTTATTTTAAAATTTTAAACTTGACAATTAAATTGATAACTAAGGAATATTCTTTGAAAAGAATAGTTATTACTGGTTTAATTTTTATATAAAACAATTTGGCGTGATAAGAATAAGACGGCTGATATATCTTTTTATAAATGCAAAATGTGGCGTATGCCAAATTAATGTTTTATTCCTAAAAAACTCTTTATTTGACTTATACAAAAATATTTTAAAGTGAAAATTGGGGTTTCATTTATATATCAATTAGTAATTTTCTCATCAAATTATATTATAAAATAAATGCTCCTTTTTTTAAAAATTCGATTCCAAATTTAACAAATTTATAAGAGTTTCAAAGATTCTTTTTTAATGGAAATTTATCCATTTCAGATTAGTTTAAAAAGTAAAAATTGTTTGCAGAACATTTAGCAAACCTACAAGTATTTTGTTTAAAAAATCAAAAATAATGATATTATACTAAAAAAACCAAACCAAAAACGGGTAGATTTAGTGGGGGGGGGGGGAAATTAGAACCAGGACCTAAAAATATGGTCACAAATTTAACAATTCATTCATGATTAAATTCTTTTTAAATAATTCATCATATTAAATATTTGGCTCCATATTCTTAAATAAAAATCTAGGCGAATCTAGATTTTATAACCAGAAAAATCGATAATTGTAAAAATGTAACTCTTTCATATAAAGATTATAGAAATATTTCTAAAATCAAAAGAGATGGCAAAAAGGAATGGAGTAACATAAAAAGAAGTAATCTCAAATGAGATTTTTCATCGATTAATTTAATATATTGTAAAATTCGGTAGACGAAAAATGAAAATATTTTTTTAAAATCAAATCATTTTATTTATTTGGAAAAAAAAATATGTTGAAAATAACGTGTAAACTATTTATAAAATAACATATAAACTATAAAAACCATTTATATTTTTTTCTTTTCATCTCTACCTTTTTGGCAGGGTCTACATGAATGAGAGGTAGGGGAGGGGGGTAGGAACAGTTTGTATCTTATTTTTTTGAGGGGGGTAGGGGGTAGGATAATTTTTTGGGGGGCTATCTGTTAAATTTTGCGATCAAATAAGGACAAAATTTATTGCTGTAAAAATTAATACTTTTATTATAGACCTATTATAATACAATTCATCAACCAAATCTATATATAGCAAACCATAGACATTATTTTCCAAATAAAACTTTCTGCTATCCTTTCAAATATAATTTAAAAGTTTTGACATTTTCAGCACGCTCATAATGCTATAATAATGAATTCATTGATGGGGGTTTTAATTGAATCTACTATCTAAAAAATAACTCCTTTATATTCACAAAATGTCGATAGCTGGTAGTAGAGATAAAATAATTTAAGTTATTCTTTTTAAATTTTCTGAAAGAGTATCATTATAATTAAAAAGGTGGAATAAAAAATAAGGAAACGTCGCCGTCGAAGGCGATAAAAATTAGGGGGTTAGGCATAGGTTTTTGAAGGGGGTTTGCATCCAGTGAAAATTCTATCAGCTGATTTTTGGGCGGTAACACCTTCAATATCTCTTTCCATTTTATATTATTCATACAATCCATTTTATTCCGTTTATATTTTGATTGGAGCTTTAGTCTTCTCTCTTTGTTTACCCATCACTTCTTGTCAGCCTTGTTTCTTATATAGTTTTTAGACCTTCTCATCGTATGTCCATATTACGTATGTTCATCGTTTGTTTTAATGGGGACTAACCTTTAAACTTCCCAGTATATTTGTATTTCATATCATTCTTTTTTGATACCCCTGCTATCATTCTCAGCATTTTAATCTCCATTTTCTGTAAACTTCTCTCGTCCGATTCTTTGCTTGGCCATGTTTCCAAAGGACAGTTGGCTGTACTATGGAACTATATATTTTTCCCTTTAATTTGGGGGGAATTCTTTTGTCAAAGAGCACTCCTGAAGAATTCCACCCAGCCATCCTTGATTCAATTTATTTTTTTGTTTCTCTTTTGATTGCACCCTTACTTTTTAAAGTGGAACTCAGATATCTGTCATTCAGTTATGTTGATGATGTCTGTTTCATCCTATTACCATATAATCTGTTTTTTTCCTTATTAACTTTTAATGTATGCTTTCTAGTAATCTATCCAACTCGTCAATTTTTCTTCCATATAATCCTATGTTTCAGCACGTATCGCATTATCATCTGCAAATATCATATTATTTAGAGTTGTTTCCGGAATATGTGATAGGACATCCATCACTGGTATGAAGAAGAATGGGTTGAGAACGCACCCTTAATGGACTCCCTCTGCTATTTGGAAGCCGGTTGATGTGCCTATTGTACTTTTGATCATTGTCTTGTGGTTCATATTGGTGTTTTTGAACGGCTCGTTTTGAGCCGATTTTTAAAAACGACTAACTCAATATTTTAGTCAGAAAAATATTGCCTAAGCCTCTAGATTTCGATAATATAGGCCTAGACCTTTGTTCCTTCTATGAACAAAATCTTCAGGCTTGCGTAATATTTTTATGGATGGAATATTGAGTTACCCGTTTTTAAAAATCGACTCAAAACGAGCCATTTAACAACACTAGTTCATACTTCATATACATGTCTTGTATTATTCTCATATATTTTTCCGGTATTTTTTTGCGGCGGAGCCACCACCAGATAAGTTTTATTGGGATTACATCGAAAGCTTTCTCAAGTTCGAGAAATATCTTATGGAGCTTTTTGTTTCTTTCCCTATATTTTTAACTCCTTTTTTCCAATTACGTGGATTGCGTCAGTCGTGGATCTTCCAAGTATGAAACCAAACTGAGTACCCTCTATTTCGATTAATTGTAATTTTTTTTCATAGAGTTTTAGAAGCGTGACATTAGTTTTATGCTCCTGTAATTTTGACAATTATGTGGATCCCCTTTATTTTTGAAGATAGGAAATAAATAACTTAGCCTCCATTTTTAAGGAATCTCTTCATTTCCCACTATTTTTTTCAAGGATTTGTGAGGAAATGTATTCCTTCATTCTCCTAATATTTTAAGGTTTTCTATTGGACGATCATAAAGATCACTTGCCTTATCATTTTTCATGTGTTTGAGGAAACTTATTATTTCGTGTTCTGTTATTGGTTCTTGATATTGGGTGTTCATATAGATGTAGTATGTGGGGATTAATGTTGAAAGCTTCTGAAAATATTTTTCCCGTCTATTATTATCTCTTTTCCCTTTATTATCAATTTTTCATTTTTATTTTTGATTACTTTTGAAACTCCATTTATATCCCTTGAATTTTTTTCTCGTTGCTTGGCTAATCTAGAGATTTTATTTTGTTCCTTTTTTGTGAAGTTGCTCTTACATGTTGACATATGTCAGTGATTTGGCCCTAGCCACCACCTTTGTAACCATTCTTCTTGACTTTTTGTGTTTTTGTTTGTTTTCTGTGCTTTTGGATTTATACCATAGTGTTTTCTTGTCTTTTATGGCAGTCTGTATATCCTCATTCAACCACCACATTTTTTTGTTTGATTAGTTTCCCCCCTTTGTTAAACAGAGGGTAAGTATAGCAGTATCTATTCATCTTGATGAGAGGTCAGTCCACATTTTTTCACTAGTTTGCTACGAAGATTCGATTGTTTCAATGTTTGTATTTATTGTGAAGACATCTGTCATTGATTTTAATTTCCTCATTTATTTTATAGCAAGGATTTTTTTTGTAAGGCATAAATCCAAGACAAGTAACTTGTACTGTGATTTGGTTCTCCCATTTCGTCTCTTGTATATATACTATATCAATTTCTCTTTTAACCAACATGGATGCCAATTCTCTTGTCTTACCTTTTAGAGTACCAATGTTTAAACTTGCAAACCGGGTCGTGGATCCACGCCCATTGATGTGAAATTTTTTTGCCTAAAATCTTAAAAAATTATGGCCTACAGAAATAAACATTGGGATGGGATGAAAATTTAAAATTCGTGATATTTATTGATATTCAACATTTTGTTTTTATAATCGCGTCCATGTTTGGATTAGATGAAATCTGGGGACGCATGTAAAATCCCATGTGAGATTTACCAGGATAAGTGAGAGGATTCAAGGAGAATTGATAGTAGTTAACCAAACTTAATTTATTTGAGATTATCAAATTAATTGCTCTATGGTGACTGAATCGACCATTAGAATTCAAGCATAGACCATGTCTACCTTTATGCTCGGACACTTCTTACACCCTTTACATTAAATAGGTAGACATATTTAGGACCCTATTCTTTACCATATAGTCATCCTCAACTCTTCACCTGGGAGTAAGAGGCAAGATTGGCTCTTGAAACAGCTTCTAGCTATTCATGGCCCAAGCCTTGTTTCAAAAATGTCAGAAGTCTTCAATGGAAAGATTATTACCCGTCAATTTTTTTTAAGTGAGCCAAAAGTGGGCTAATAAAGATTCTTAGTGCCATGGATTGTTGAATGGATGTAAGAATCACACCTGTGTTTACCAGTGTTCTCTATTCCCTTCCAAAATCAATGACGCTGAAACCCACATAAAGAACTAGAGAGGGTACTCTATGATGCAAGCGACCACTCCTAAGATAATTTTAAATGATAGCATTGAAGAGCATCCATAAAAATTTTACATGGAAATATTATCACTATAACACTATCATTGATGATATATTTCTTTATTCCATAAATAATATTGAGAAAATGTTACAACTATGAAATCGTCTTAGAATAGATCCTATTATAAAAAATAAATATATTTTGTAATTATTTCAAATTTTTTTTTCATTCTAATATTAAAATATCTAAAATATAAAAGAAAAATGATGACTGAATTATAAAATAAAAATTTAGTGACATTAGTTAGTGCTAAATTAAATTATATAAAATAAAGTGATCACTATAAGGGATTCTACCTTCTTTAGAAAATATCTCTCAAAATCTATTATTCAAACCTTTTGAGCACTCATCTTCCTGACTTCTTCTTAACTTTCTTCAATTCTTTTTTTCTCTAATTCATATTTTATTGTTTAGATGTTATATTTTTAAAAATTTAATTCATTCATATAATTTTTATTTCCTTTTTTCTGTCTAAATTTTTTTGGAATGAATAAAATGATTGCAACAATGATTAATTTTGGAAGACCTATCCTGGAACCAGAACTTTAAATTAATCGAAATCCGAACCAAAACTTAAAATCAGAAAAGTTCTGATCCCTGCTTATAATATTGATAAAAAAATAATATATATAAGGCTCTCGCTAAATTAGACGATAAACTCCGACCGATCTTACAGGGAGTACTAGACAACAAGGCTAGGTGGCAAAAACTATCAACTGACCCCAACTTCGATATCAATTCCTTTCACCTTGAACCGAAGGAGGATAAAAAGAATGAAACCAATCAAAATACCAGTTCGGTCATTAAAAGTGAGGAGGGAAATATTGAACAAATACCACTTCAAAACGGTAATTTTTATCATATATGATGCTTCTCAGAACCTTAAAAAACTTTATATTATTGCAAATTGCGTTGATATATTACTCATTTGAGCGCCAATAAAGTTGTATACCAATATTTTCACATGAAAATGGAAGGTCATAGAATCTCCCTTTGAAAAAATTTTTAGAACTAATTTTTTTTCTGGTATGCAATAATTCCCTAAAATAATCAATAAATTAAACTAATCACATTATAAATTAAGGTGATATTATTTAATCATTATTTTTAAAACCTTTGTCAGGAATAAACGAAGCATCTCCGAATGGAAATATTGAAACTGAAGATCATAAACCAATTAAAAATCTTTCTAAGGAAAGTGGGGATTTTATTGCTAACGAATTATCTAATATAAGTAAATAAATAACAATATATAATTTCTTAAATATTTGAAACGCGAGTGGTTGGGGGGGCATAGCTTGCCTCTATTTTTAAACAGGTATGTCTACTTATAATTTATTAACCTTTGAAATATTAAACATTTAAAATTAACTTTAAATTAAATACTACCCTTCTCGATAGAGAATTACTACCTTGATTTTTTTTGTACCAGTAAAATATAAAAATTTTGAAGATTAAATTAAACATAAATTTTCTACGACTTATAAAGAATATGGAAAATTAAGTAAAATTGTTTTAAATACTATATTTCAATTTACTATAAAAACCGATTTAAAACTTGTATTTTTTTTAGTATTTAAATCAGAGACCTGCAGTCCCTGCCAGTAAACTCGGCACAGAACAGACAGATAAATGATATGATATGACTAAAAATTCTGGCCAGGTATGGCTTATTAATTTTTAAGATGAAAAATCTGGGGCTGGCCAATTTTTAAAAAAATATATCAATCAGTAAGAAAATCATATGACGGAGTGTTTAATTTTTATTTACCACTCATAATTTTAATTTGACAAACAATTTGCATCAAAATAACTTATATTTTAAAAATCTCGGCCCAGTCCGGACTTGTAAATAAAAATTTTTTTTAATTCATGTCTATAGCCATAAATTTCGACCTCTGCAGTATATTTATTTTCAAATAATAATGTTTTTTTAATTATAAGGATAGAAATGTGCATTTTTGTCTCCAAGAAATGTTTGTCTTAAAAATCTATGAAAATTTATAGAAGCATAGTTAAGCGTAAAATACTAAGTGAGCTATTGACAAAACCGTAAAATATCAAATGCGTTATAAGTTAAAAATCTACGGGGCGTTTCTATGCCTCAATATACTAAGGTAAGCTATATAAATCTTATTCTGATAAATAATAATCTTAAAACTATAGTAAATCTATTTACTTGTTCTTTAACTTTAAAATTTAATTTGAAAACCATTGAGGGCTATATAATTTGTTCAAATTAGATTAGACTTAACCAGAGTTTATCTTTCTAAAAAAATTTAGGGCCATATTTTTGGACAAATTATTTTAATTAGATAGTTTATATTTGTTATTTATACGTTTAAAAACGTTATTTTATTTAGCTAGTGAATTGGATACCGACATTTATAACCATAATAAATTATCATCGGAAGGTGAAGACGATGTTAACAATCAAAGTTCTAATAATAAAGATTTAGATATTAAAAATATTAAGGTCGAGAAAATTCATAAGCTTCGACACCACCCTCACATTACTTTCAAAGAACCAGGTTGGTCCCAACGAGATGACGAGTTCTATAAAAAAAAACATTTAAATGAAAATAACGAAAATGGATTTACTGATAGCAATAATTCTGATGAAATTTTTGATAAGTCGAATAGTTCTAAAGATTCTGACAAAAGTAATGATAACAAAACATTATCAGAATCTGATGTTCCCTTGGACAACAAATCTATGGGTAAAAGGGACTCGATTCAAATTTATAGAAAAAAATCTGCTAGAAATTTAGTCCAAGCCATTTTCCCACATAAAAATAATCAAGTTGCTGGGCTTAATTATAATATAACAAATCATGATCAAACTAATTATAATAAAGGTGGCACTAGAATGTCTTATAGAGCGAGTATTGCGGTGGATAAAGATATCAATGAATATAAGACTAACTTGAATAATGAAAAAATTCGGAGTAACAGAGAAAGAAGGCCTCCTAGAAGAAGCTTGCCTAATAATAATTATATTAGTAAAACTTTAGCGGGTAATAGGATCGAATCTTTAGAAGTATTAGCTGATGAAGAGAATGAAAAAGTTTTTGATACTCTTTTAAACGATGATGATGAACGTTTAAATGGTAATATTAATGTTCTAACAAGAAATGAAAATACGAAAAATAGTGGAGAGAGGATACAAGATATTAAACAAGGAGAAATAAGTAATGGTTTAACTAAGGAGTCGAAAAACGCTATTCAAGAAATATCTAAAGAATCTCTTGGTGCTTACAAACAAAATGATATTCAACAAAATTTAACTCAGGATCCAAATTCAAATAATTTGCAAAATGAGTTAAAACTAGATCTTAATTCGAACACGAATCAAATTAATAATGACGATATTGACCAAAACATATTACCTTCGTTTTCTTCCATTCATAGTACCAAAGAATTCCCCCAAAATGGAAACTCCAACTCGATTGATAATAGTCCTGAACGTAAAGACAGCAGTAGGACGAGCAATGAAAATGAAAGTGTGAATTCTAGTCCTATTAAACGCGGACCAAAAAAAACATCGTTATTTAAGAAACAAAAAAAATCCAATCTCTCCTTATTCCCAGACGAAAATAATGATAACCTGGCGTCTACTTCATCTTTAGCGATAAACAAGCAATTACCATCAGGAGACGATGGGTACCAAAGCAATAAAAACGCCGAAACTTCTTCCAACAACGTTCGTTCGTTTCCACCTCATCGAGATTCTTTAAGGCTCATGCACGACAAAGAACCTTACAAAACCAAGGAACAGCATGATGAAAAATTATTCAGTGAGCCAGATATCAATAGTATTAACAATAATGGGGATGGAGATAAAAAGAGTATGATGGGGAGCAAGGTGCATTTTGAATCACTTATTTATAAACCGAGGAACCCGCCTCCAGGCCCTCTCGATAGATACCGAAATAAGAAGAGTGGCACATCTAAAATTTGTATCATTTTATAATTAATAAATTTTTGTTGCTAAATTTGATACAAGTTTCTTCGGCATTTCGATAAAAGACGCACCCTCCCCATTTATAATTTTAAAAAAACATTTGATGTCCTCTAGTTTTGAAATAATTGGTACCATCTTTGTAAATGTTTAATTTATATTATTAATTAATACTCTGTTTAAAAATGGTAAATCTTGGACCGGTCGCCTTTCTTAAACTTTTACTAATATCTTTGATATATAAGTCATATAAGAAATTATAGTAAATAATTAGAATAGTGCAATCAACCAAATATTTTATCTAACCAAAAATCCTATCTTAATGTGCAATATAAACATCACATAAAATATATTTGAAAAAGTTCACCCTAGCAAAAAAATATTTTCGTTTTATTTTAATATTATGTACACATACTTATTATATAATAACCTAATTTATTATTCCTAAATTATAAATTTATTTAAAAAGTGATATTAGTTTACATTATATTTGATTCATAACAATAAAAAAAATATTGGAATTCAATTTATATCAATCTATAATTAAATCAAAATTAGTTTTACACTATTGAGTAGAATAATTGTGTTTTTTTTTAGTTTTTAGATTCTAGTTTACCGCTAAACAAAATGAATAATCTACTGGCTGCTTTGTCATAATAAGAACTGTATATTTAAGATTTTCAAATATTTATATCTTTGGAGTTCTTTATTCACAAATTAGCATTAAAAATACACGAAACAATATTATATACTCAAAATAAGCTGCTAAATAAAATTAGTGCTTTTCTTTGTTACCCTATGCTATATTATGAGATTTTTTTTGAAACATATTAATTAAATTTTTTATGTAAGGAAATTATAATAACTCCATAATGCTATTTTTTCCTCTCTCTATAATTTTATTTTTGTCTGTCTTTATAATTCTATTTTTGTCTATCTCAAATTTTATTTTCACCACAATGATGAAGTTGAAACTTATTATCCTTATAAACATATTTTGTTTTTATCTTCATAATACTATTTTTACCATAAAATAGTAAATTTTAGCGTACTATTTTTTAAATGACCCTTGATGGTTTCGAAGCAGCGACCCAGGCACATTAGTCTATTTAATTGAGCATTATCAAAAATAATTTTTATTACTGATGGATAGAAAGAAAAAAACCTATAAAAATATAAGAGATAAAAATTATCATAATTTTTAAACATTTATTTAATATACAAATACAAAAAGCTAAAAAATAATGTTGTAAACTATAATACCTTTTTATTTTGATGTATGGATTTGGAATCGCCTCCGATATTTAAGGTTATTAATGTTTATGCTTTAAATTTTACAAATTATTTACTCTGCACCCTCAGCGTTGCAGAATAAAGTGTCCACACAGTTAAGGATTTTTTATAATTTTTCATTAGGAATATCTTCATTATTATATTTTTGAAATCCAGCTATCGTTTCCTATTTATTTAATTTGAATCTTTGCCAGATTCTATTTATTTGCTCTCATCATCGCGTATCTAAGGCCAATTATTTTTGAATAAAAAATATATCGGAAAGAATTTCGAAATAAAAAAAAAATAATGTTATTAAAATTTATTCAAGTCGTTTTATCCTCGTTTTCAGAGCTTTCCTTTAGACGGAACTGCATGATGCTTTCCAGGGAAATTAAATGGTCTATTTTTAATAATTTTATATATTAAATAAAAATTTAATTTCTGAATCGAGCGACATCTGTAAATATTCACATAAAATTTAAAATTATTGTCAACATGTTCCTAATGATTAAATTTTTTAAATATCAGTCAAATTTATATTTAATTTTTTCTTAATTTTAATTGAAATAATACGAACATTTGTTACACTTCGTCTCCAATTCTGTATCACATAAATTACAATTCGTTAGTCAATAAGATTATTATGAACATCATTTGATCATTATTCATGCTAAGATACGCAAAGTTTCATAATCTTTGGGAACCGAATTTGAAAGAGCGAACGCAGCAAAAAGGAGAAAACGGTGGGGGCATATTTTAAAATATATATTGATTTCTTTTAATCTAAGACGTTTATAAGGCATGCTATGCAAAATTTCTAGCAATGATGTGTTTATTTTAAAGGTTAACGTGGCTCCCTGGGGAAATATTTTTTCCCGAACAACTTGTGCCAATTTTTTACAGGTCGGGCCTGAAATTCTCAATTTTTTAAAGCTTACATTTAGTATGTATTTTTTCTTCATAAAAAATTATTTTGGACCGGGTCGCACAACTTTTACTAAATGATTTTACAGGCCTATAAATTTTTAGATGGGAGGGCGAAAATATCTTTTTAAAAATTTTAACAATAATAAATTAATGATTAATTCTAGATTGGGTAGAAGTAGTGTTGTTAAAACGCCGCGAGTCGCGACCCCGACCCAAAGCTCGGGTCGTTTTATTCGACTCCGACTCAATGTTTGGGTCGTTTTTTTCGACTTCGACCCGAGTTCAAGCCGAAAAAAACGACTTCAACCCAAAATATGGGTCGTTTTTTTCGACTCCGACCCAAGTCCAAGCCGAAAAAAACGACCTCGACCCAAAATATGGGTCATTTTTTACGACTCCGACTCAAAATTTGGGTTGTATTTTTCGACTCAAACTTGAAATTTGGGTCGTATTTTTCGACTCAAACTTGAAGTTTAGATCGTATTTTTCGACTCCAACTCAAAGTTTGGGTCGTTTTTCTGACTCAGACTCAAACATCGGGTCGTTTCATTCAATCAGACCCAAAATATGGATCTATTTTTTAAAGACGACTTAAAGTTAGGGTTGCTTTTTTTCACCCCTAACCCAATATCTAGATCATTTTTTTCGACCAAAAGTCAAATAACATTTAGTATATATTAATATTATAGGCGGGAAAGTTAGTTAAAGCTTCTTTAAATTATAATGCTTGATTAACTATTCATCATAGTTATATTTTAAAATTTTTAAGTGAAGATGTACCATAGAAAAGTGCCATTTGTCATGATGGTTATTTTTGAACTTTTTTAAATGAAATAGATAAAAATATATATTGTAGACATGTTAAATCAAAATTTCAGTGATGATGTACCATAGATAAGTGGTAATTGTCATAATCGCTATTTTTGAACTTTTTTGAGTTTTTTTAAAGCAAATTGCTAAAAATATATATTCTAAACATGTTAAATCAAAAATTCAGTGAGGATGTATCATAGATAGGTGACAATTGTCATAATCGCTATTTTTGAACTTTTTCAAATTTTTTTAAAGGAAATATCTAAAAATATATATTCTAAACATGTTAAATTAAAAATTCAGTGAGGATGTATCATAGATAGGTGACAATTGTCATAATCGCTATTTTTGTTTTTTTAAAGGAAATAGCTAAAAATATATATTCTAAACATGTTAAATTAAAAATTCAGTGAGGATGTATCATAGATAGGTGACAATTGTCATAATCGCTATTTTTGAACTTTTTCAAATTTTTTTAAAGGAAATAGCTAAAAATATATATTCTAAACATGTTAAATTAAAAATTCAGTGAAGATGTATCATAGATAGGTGACAATTGTCATAATCGTTATTTTTGAACTATTTTCAATTTTTTTAAAGCAAATAGCTAAAAATATATATTCTAAACATGTTAAATTAAAAATTAAGTGAGGATGTATCATAGATAGGTGACAATTGTCATAATCCCTATTTTTGAACTTTTTCAATTTTTCTTAAAGGAAATATCTAAAAATAAAATATTCTAAACATGTTAAATTAAAAATTCAGTGAGGATGTATGATAGATAGGTGACAATTGTCATAATCACTATTTTTAAACTTTTTCATATTTTTTTAAAGGAAATAGCTAAAAATATATATTCTAAACATGTTAAATTAAAAATTCAGTGAGGATGTATCATAGATAAGTGACAATTGTCATAATCGCTATTTTTGAACTATTTTTTTCTACCAAAAGTCAAATAACATTTAGTATATATTAATATTATAGGCGGGAAAGTAACTTAAAGCTTCTTTAAATTATAATGCTCTGATTAACTATTCATCATAGTTATATTTTTAAATTTTTAAATGAAGATGTACCATAGAAAAGTGCCATTTGTCATGATGGTTATTTATGAACTTTTTTAAATGAAATAGATAAAAATATATATTGTAGACATTTTAAATCAAAATTTCAGTGATGATGTACCATAGATCACTGAATTTTTAATTTAACATGTTTAGAATATATATTTTTAGATATTTCCTTTAAAAAAATTTGAAAAAGTTCAAAAATAGCGATTATGACAATTGTCACCTATCTATGATACATCCTCACTGAATTTTAAATTTAACATGTTTAGAATATATATTTTTAGATATTTCCTTTAAAAAAATTTGAAAAAGTTCAAAAATAGCGATTATGACAATTGTCACCTTGAATTTTTAATTTAACATGTTTAGAATATATATTTTTAGCTATTTGCTTTAAAAAAATTGAAAATAGTTCAAAAATAACGATTATGATAATTGTCACCCATCTATGATACATCTTCACTGAAGTTTTATTTTAACATGTTAGTAATACTTATTTTAGCCCAATTATGTCAAAAAAACTTAAAAAAGTTATGATAACGATTATGACAATTGTCACTTTTTTATGGTACATCTTCATGAATTTTTAATTTAACATGTTTAGAATATATATTTTTAGCAATTTGCTTTAAAAAAACTCAAAAAAGTTAAAAAATAGCGATTATGGCAATTGTCACCTATCTATGATACATCCTCACTGAATTTTTAATTTAACATGTTTAGAATATATATTTTTAGCTATTTCCTTTAAAAAAATTTGAAAAAGTTCAAAAATAGCGATTATGACAATTGTCACCTATCTATGATACATCCCCAATGAATTTTTAATTTAACATGTTTAGAATATATATTTTTAGATATTTCCTTTAAAAAAATTTGGAAAAGTTCAAAAATAGCGATTATGACAATTGTCACCTATCTATGATACATCCTCACTGAATTTTTAATTTAACATGTTAAGAATATATATTTTTAGCAATTTGCTTTAAAAAAACTCAAAAAAGTTCAAAAATAGCGATTATGACAATTACCACTTATCTATGGTACATCATCACTGAAATTTTGATTTAACATGTCTACAATATATATTTTTATCTATTTCATTTA